TTTTAATTTTAATTTTTATTCTTTCAATTCCTAAACAATTGAATTTGTCCTTCATTTCTTTCCTCTTCTGTAGATGCGCTTTATTAGTTTTTTTATTTATTTTTTTAAAAATCTTTTATTTGACTTTACTTTCAAGTTTTAAAAGATTTTATTTGTACAAAATTTAAAAATGACTTTATCTAAATAGTTAAATAAGATTTAAGTCATGGTGTTATTCACGTTATGTAATTATGATCTTGACACTCATTTTATTACAAACTCCAAAAGTATGTTTGAAGTTCCTATAAATATATTAAGTAGGACTTCTCTAATTTAAAATTGAAACTATAAAAAATATCCTAATGAAAATTGTATAATTGACTAATGGTACGAGTTATTAGGTAAATATTGTATTTTATAATATTAAATGTTTAATATTTAATATTTTAACTATTAAATGGTTTTTAAAATAAAAAATAATATTATAAATAAGAAAACAATTTATTTTTTTTTACGCATAAATCTCACCTAAACTCACAAAGCTTGAAGTTTCGGCTCCACAACTTGTCATGTTTTATGACTTTTAGAACATTGATACTAAGATTAAATACATTTGGCTTATTGTGAAGAAGTCTACCCACGAGATGTGAAGAAGTGAAATTGGTACAATTTTTGCCAATTGTGTACAAGTATCCTTCTTAAACTCCTTCAAAATTTCTTCAAGACTACTACTAACTTCCAATACATCTCTAACGATATTTTTAATCAAATACTCAACAAGAATTTATGTCACAACCCAATTCTAACAATATTTAACGAGGCACATGGTAACATTTCGCAATCATAGAGGAATAATGTAGTTCAAAGAGAAAGTACACAACCATAGAGACGTAAATAGATTAATAATAATTATGTCCTTTTCATAGTAGAAATAGTGAGTAGAGAGATTTATAAAGTATTGAGTGTTTCTTATTTTTGTTTCTCCTAGTGTATGATATACTAATTGTTGTTATTTATTATATATCTAGAGAGAGATTGTAATTATCTCATTATAGTGGAATCCTTCTATACTTGTTCATGATTTTTCACCTCAAAATTTAGTGTGGTTTTCCTTGTAAGATCCTTGTGCTCGTTTTATTTTCAATTTCCCCCTTTAGTTGTGTTCTGTTCTAACTATCATGCATGCTCAATTTCATAATAACAACTTAATTTTTTTCTTAAAACTAGATCATGTTAGAGGGAAAAAAAAATAGATTTAACTCCCATATACTACTATGACCCGTCTCTTTGATACTAGTTTATATGACCACTAGATGTCACATCTAAATTCTTTTTTTTTTTTTTTTTCTTTTTCTGATAAATTCTCAACCATCGTGGTGGGAGACTAAAACTTGAATTAGTCATGCAAATATGGTCATGAGCTTGTCAAATTCACGTTTTTCTTCTTCGATGGAGATAGTTATGCACATGACATTCCATTTGCAAGAGGACACTGAACCCAGAGTTAGAGCACACTTTCATGGAAACTTTTAGAAAATTTTGGGTCAAAGTAAGCATTCGGAACTTTTAATTATTATATTAAAGAATTTAACATATTAGATTTGAACATGAGCCTAATTTTATCAATTATTTTTGCCGTCGTCCACTGTTCCAATCCGAAATCCGTCAAAGAGAATTCAAACTCTAGAATCGGTAGTCATTTGAATAACATTTGTTTATTTGAAACTTTGTTCAGGAGATTACTAAAGTATTTCGTTGGCTTCAAAAGAAAAAAGTAAGTACTTCATTTATCTTTTATTTTTTCTTTTATCATTAAAATACGTAAATAGTGTATGCGTCATAAAAAAAATAGTGAGATTAGAATGATTGTGAATAATATTTTCTTAAGGAAATGTATTAATTTAGAATTTTGAAGATTTCTATAATTTTTTATTGTTTTTTTTTTAAAATGGGCGACTTTTGTGAATTTTATGTAATTTTGGATTACTTATATAGATTTGTTAAAAATTAATAGAAGTCTTCCATGAATTTCTGAAGACTAGTTAAAGATTTTTAATGATTTTTCATCTTGCAAATTCATTATATACCTGAAAAATTATAATTTTTCTTACTACCTAATTAAACTTTTATAGAACAATGATACCCACAAAATTTTCTTCGGCAAAGTGAATAGTCACAACCCAATCATTTAATTTTGACACAAATAAAGTAATAAATTTTTTTTGTATTAATTTCTAAGAACATAACCAAAATTTTTTCACAAAATTAACATAAATTCTAAAACACAAATTCTTTTTTAAAAAAATAAAAAAAATCAATTACATGGAATTCTACGTTTTGAATCAACTGTATATAATTTCAATTCAAAAGTAATTATGTATATATAGAATAATCATAAATTGATTACAGCAAATGAATTGAGGAAATATGAGAAAATCCTAGAATTGAAAGCAAAAGAGACATTCTTTTTTTGGTTCTGAAATCTTCACAAATCTCAGAGTATAAGAGATTTTCTCTGAAACTTATTATCTATATGTTTTTACCAAAAGTCTCCAGAAGTTCACTAAGTAAAGAATTTTTCAGAAGTCACCGTCTATTTGAATACCTCATGACTTATAAAGATCTATAAAAAATTCCAATTGAATACCTCGTGACTTTTAAGGCTTTTTAATTGTCTATTGAAGTCACAATTGAATATATCTAAACTTTTAGATGATCTTTAAAAATTTCAATTGAATACACCTAAACATTTTAAATCCTCGAAAGTTTATAAAAGTCACAAATGAATACATCCCTTTGTATTCAATAGTTTTCTGAAATTAAAATATCAATCTTTATAATTTTCATTACTTTTCGTGTTCTATTTTTTTTAGAGTATTGTTTCTGCACGTCGACCGAGCCGTATTTTGTTTTCTATTTTCCATTTCTGCAGTTGATCTGGCTAGCATTGCCGATATTAGTGGCTTACAAAGATCTGACAAGCTAGTTTCCTTTTATGATTCAAATTCTTTTAGAACCTAATTTTGATGCATCTTGACCTAATTTCGCCACCTATAAGTACGGAATTAGAGCTTCGCATGGGAGGATCTCTCTCATCTCTCAAATTACAATCATATCATAAAATCTATTGAGAAATGAGGAGCCAATTCAATATCTGTTAGAGTGGAAAGGAGAACAATTCTAGCACGTGGTGGAGATCTTGTGGCAATGACGTGGCAAAAGGAGGTGATGGTGGTTGTGGAAGGCAACTACTGGTGGATACATGAAGGATTACCATTGTCGATTAATAAAGATCAGGGTTAAGGTTTGTAAAATATTTATACCAGAGGTATAAAAATGTTGGACAATGAGTAACTTTTCAGAAAGTGTTAATCAATATAGATTAAATTTCAAAAATCGAATGTATTTTACAGTTTTTAAATCTATTTTTTGGACCGTCGGTACATATTTCTATTTCGTTTTGTGATTGTGACGATTTTAATTTATAGTAGTGCTGCAATCTTCCCAAGAAAACAGTACAAAGAAACCTAATTGGGGCCTCGCTCGATTTCAATGTCCAATTGTTGAGCTTACTGAAATTCATTTTTAAGTAATAAATAATATTTATCTCAATATATGGATTCTGTTTTGTAATTTCGTATAGTTTTGTAAAATATTTAATCAATGAAGATTTTTAGCCTTCAATCTCCTTACCAAAATATCAACATTATGTTCGAACCAAATAGCTATTATGCGTATTCTAATGGTACTGCTGACCAAATCAATAGATTTTTAGTTGTTCGATTGCTTGTTTATGTGTTAATGTTTTCGACAAGCTTCATCTATCATATGTTTATCTTGTAATTATGAACTTAAATAACTTTTGTAATTGTGTATGGATGATTTTTATTCTTAGAGGTGCATACCTATATAAATATTGAATTGATCTTATAAGTAGAGAGATCATCAAGAACAAGCCTAAGAATTACAGACTGAATCACAATGAGAAGCTTTGGAATGGCAAAAGTTATAAAACTGAGGACAACTCGAAGAATAGTGTACAGTTTTACGGATAAACCTCAATGAGAGATTTGTATCCCAATTTATGAGCTATCTTGTAGTGAGTGAAGCCAGCATCAGAAGAGCTTTGCCCATTCTCTTTCACGTCTTTCCCTACCACCGATATCAACCATTATTAACATATCTGAAAAGAGTTGGTTAGTGATTTCCTCATCCCCCTTTTTGTCTTTGCTAAGAATCATTTCGATAATGATCACTTTTCCTCCTCTTTATTGAAATTGCTTCTTTGCATTTTTTCAATATTTTAACACTGTCTTCATCGTTCCAATCATGCAATATCCACTGTTTTTGTTGAATATAGAATTTAAATAAGTAAATGTGTATTACCTCGAACAAGTTAAACTTTTAAATGATATAATTCAACATAATATTGGACCGTGCCAAAGAATATTAAATTAACATGTTCTATGATGTAATTGTCAAGTTAATTAGCTTCTTCCATGCAGTCGAATAATGCAACTTTTAGTGGAACCAGTCAACGTTGAATGTACGTTGTACCTTATCATAAAATGCTTTATAGGTGTTGTAAAAGTAATATTTGAATATGCATAAATATTAAATAATTTAGAATTAATATCAGAGAATATATACGTGACAATGAATGTTACATCATTTATTTAATTTTAAATTAAGTAAAACATGATTTTAATAGCATACATGGATGTGAATAATGAGATGCATTATTGAATGTGAGTGTTAATTAATTGAGAATTAATAATAGGAGATTCATACATTAATGAAAGCACAAATGTGAATGAATTTGTCAAATGTACATGTACATTGATGATAACTAAATGATTCGATAAATTAAATACATAATGAAAAACGAAAAGTAAGGTATCATTTAAATAATTGAATCATACTTTTAATAAGAAAAAATGACCTATACAAATTCTATCTTTATGGTGGCGGAAAGAGTAAAAAAATATCGAATTTTGATATCTTCTAGATTGTATATTTAGCCGTTCAAACTCAAATAGAACTCTCTCTCTCCTCTCTAGTAACTGTGGAGGTAAGGGCTAAGGTTCCTCTTTAATAGTAACAACTTTCTATCAATTGACCTGGTACAATTGAACGCAAAGTTCCTTGTTTATGTTACTATTGCATGTATGCTACGATTTAATTCATTGGGCTTATTGCTGAAAAGTCTTCACAAGGGGATGTGAAGAAGTGAATTTGGTGCAATTTAGACCGACTTTATCTAATTGAGTGGAAATTGTGCTGCCAAAATTAATGAGGCACGTGGTACGATTTCAATATCATAGAGAATGTTCAAAGGGAAAATACACAACCATATAGACGTGAATAGACTAGTGAGTTATGTGCTCCACATAGTAGAAATAGTGAGTAGAGAGACACAAAAAAAATTGTGAGTATTTCTTATTTTAGGTTCTCCTATTATTGAGATACTAATTGTTGTTATTTCCTTATGTTTAGAGAGAGATTGCAATTAACTTGTTATATATAGTAGAATCCTTGTATACTTGTCTGTGATTTTTTACCTCATGTAAAATCCTTCAGTTCATTTTATTTTCAAATTTTCCTCCATTTCCTTAAGTTGTGTTCTAACTATCATGTTCAATTTTATAATAATGACTTAAATTTTTTTCTTAAAAGTAGATAACATAAGGAAAAGAATTTAGATTTAATTCGAATATTATACTACCACGTCCCACCTATTTGATATGAATTTATATGACCACGAGTTGTTACATCTCGATTGATTTTTTCATTTTTTAATAAATTCTCAGCCGTTGTGGTGGGGGATTGAGACTTGAATAAGTAACGCAAATGTAGTCATGAACATTCATGAGTAGCTAAATTCATGTACTCGGTGATGTACTCAATGCAATTCTTTAATTTTTCTTCCATTATCATGAGTAGCTAAATTCATATTAGGGCAAATAATGTAATCTTTTAAGACTTTTTATTTATTTTTATTCAAGATCCAAGTTCTTTAAATGCATATGTGTTGATTTTAATTATATACTTAATCCTTTGAATTGTTTGGTCAGTTATTCAATGATTTCGTGAATCTATTACGAATTGAAATGTGAGTTTTAGATTTAGACCACATATTAAAATTCGATAAATTAGTATAAGCGAAGAGATACCTATACTGATTATTGCGGTCGTTGTATGAATTCTTAGAAGTGGACTTTCTTTAACTAAAGTTGATTCGCATAGAGATCTGGAATTGAATTAATTAGATAGCCTCAATGAGAACTCACAATAGAAGAATTCAATCGAACACTACATTATGTGTGAATCTTGATTTGAGATTTAAAGGTGATAATAGATGAAATTGTTCTGCTATAATATCCTTTCATTATTTAAATTCTAAATCAATCTTTCTATGCATCCACATATTTTTAAATAGTTATATTAAAAATCACAACATCTAATTCTTTGTTTCTTTTCGATAAAATTAAAGTTAGAAATAATTGAATAGTAGTCTACGTGGGAATGATATTCGAACTTTTAGGTCCATTTTATTACTTGTTATGATACGTACACTTGCGGGATATAAAATCGACAACAAAAATTTTTGCGCCGTTGCAGGGACTATTTTTATTTAATATTTATTTGAATTATTTCTTACTTTTATTTGATTTTTATCTTATTTTCAATTGATATATTTGTCTTTCTTTGCTCCATTGATAGGGAATAAACAGAAGCAAGATGTCAAAAAATTTACTATGATTGATCCCGACTTAAATAAATGTGACATGCTCTTAGGAGAATTCCTCTTTAGACAAGAACTTAAAAAATTAAGATACAATAAATCTATTGAATTTGATAAGGACGGCTTCCTGAAGGGACAAAGTATCAAATCTATTGTTTATGGAGAGATTAGACTGACTTGTGAATATTGTGATACACATTATTATACTAAAAATGACTTGTTATTGGCAAATCCAGTGGAAGTGAGGAAAGATATCTTTGATTATCCATATGAAGAACAATTTGATTACAGTGAAATAGTTCTAGGAGACATCATCATGGAAAAATATAAAAGGATTGAAGATCAAATAATTTTGAATAAGCCAAGTAACAAGCTAATAGATGATCTCTCTATTATTCAACCTGAGGAACCAACTAAAGAAGAAGAACATGTAAAAACGAATAAATTAATTACCAAGGAGCCAAATGAATTAGTGGCATTCAAAGAAGATAGGATTAGCATAAAACCTCCAATTTCATTGATTTTGTGAGAAAAGTCAATGAGAAGATTGAAGTATTCTTAGTTGAGTTCGAATTGGGCAACTTTGGCAAGCCATATCGTATTCAAAAGGGCAAAGTACGATTTTGGAGTACGTGTGATATATGGAACAAAGTCAAATTACGAACTAAGAAAGACATCCAAAGCTATGTTCAAAGTGCCATGAAGCACTTGTGCAAAAGTCTGGCTAAAGACTTTAAATTAAGCGCTTATTAGAAGGCAAACCAATTTTTCACCCTTTTATTTATTATGCTTTTTATATTTGTATTGCATATAGTTTATTAACGTACATTAGTTTTAGGCATGTTTTTGTTTCGATAAGAGGGTCATCATATCCATATTAAGCCTATTAGAAGAAAATCGTATATTTGAGTGAAAAAATGAAGAAAATACACGTGGCACATTTTCTAAAGTTTTGAAAAAAATTGATTATCATACACGCTACATTATTGCCTTTGAATTGCTCTTGACTCTCATATTTGTCTTCTTTATCTTTCAAAGGTACATGGATATCAAGCATAAAGCAGCTTAGCAAAGAATGTAATGGACTGATCTAACAAACCACCTCAAATATCAGACTGAAAATTTGTAGAGTGCCTTATTCCTTCTTTCCCACCCCTTTATATGCTAGATTATATTTTAAGATATTGAGAACAATGTCTACTTTAAGTTTGGGGGAGGAAAAATATTGAGTTTTTAGTTTTATTATTCTTGTATGATTGTTTATTTCAACTTCTTTATTACATATAAAAAAAATTAGAAAAAATTGCAAAAATTTAAAAAATTTTAAAAAAAAATTCTTGTTTATTATGTGTTTGTATGGTTAGGTAGCGTTACCGGCAAATATATTTGGGATCATGTGTTAATTTATGAACTGTGGATATGTTATATGTTTAGATTAATAGATTATTATCCATGTCGAACTTGATACTATTAGCGCACATGAATTAAGTTCGGCATTATAAAGTAATGGATTGATTCATTTACTTGATAGATTGAATAGTAAAACATAGATGCTAGATCTAAAAGTTACTACAATATAAATCCTTCGACCAAATTTAGAATGGTTTGGAGATGATTTTACTATTGGATGGAAATATAGATATGAATGCGAATTCTATGTGTGCAAATTGTTGTTTGGATTGTCTTAGACCAATATAATGAAAATTAGGTGAAAATCATAAGTTATGGTCAATTTTTTAGAATGTGTGTTTGATAAGAGGTATTGTACTAATCATAGGAAAAAAAGAAGGAAAAAGAAGAAAAAATATATCTCTTTGTGAAACGTCTCTTCATAGCCTATATGACTCGAGTAATTAAAGCTATAAGGGTATATAAAAATCTGGTGCCCGAGTCATCGGCTTAAAGCTCGCTACAAGGATGATTTAGAAAGTTTAATGGAGGAAAGTTTGCACATAAGATAAGAAAAATATAATGATTATATATTTACTTACTACATGCCTTGATTAAGTTCCAAATACTTATTTGAAAAAATTAGATCTTTGACAAGGGATTGCTAATTGAATCTTGAAGGTTGAAGCAATCAAAATTTGAAAAATCTTTATTTGTTGAAATATTGACTTGCAGTTAATGAGATCCATCTACACTAGAGAAGGTAAAAAGTTCGTTTAAAGATTCAGCATTGAATCAACACTAGGAAAAGAGTAAAAAAGAATAAGTTTGGGGGTGAGAATCTTACGAGTAATGAAAGTAAAAAAAAATTGACCATCGAGGGTCGGGAATTGAAACAACTCGTGAATTTATAGTATTTTACTTGATTAAACCTCTATTTTTCAAACATTAAAGAAACTAAAAAAGTATTTTTTTTATTTAGTCAAAGTCAACAATTAATTACAACCACATATGCACAATCACTACCAATTTATTAACCACACATTTTGGGGATCCAATAATATTTCTACTAAAAAGTTAAGAGTAATTTTACATAAACACGAATTGGAAACATCCATAAATTCGCCTTTTCAGAAGTTAGGTAGATATTACTTCTTTTCTAAGAGCTCAAATCCAACAAGTGACCAATACATCACCTCTTGTACCCGACTTAGGGTCTGTGTTGACTATGAGGAACATGCTCATAGTGGGGATCAGTCGTCCTACTTGCAAGTTCTCTTCCCTTGCATATACTTTTACACTAATGTATGTCTTTACCTACTATTCTTCTGGCCTAACGAACTTCATTGCGAGTATGCAGATATGGACTTTCACTTATATGAGGTGTTGAAGACCTTGCCCACGCCAAGAAGTGATAAGGGTGTCGTTCATACTGATGGCAGGTTCTTGGATACATTACTTTCAATTTCATATTTCTATGCATCATCGTTTGTTATTCTTTGAACTTGATGGATTTTACTTTGGTGTGCAAGTATGAAATTCGATCTGGAAGAAACCATAGACTTTATGCCAGAGCAGAGGCATGAGAGTGATGTGTCTCGTCGAAGAGAAAGAAAAGCATTGATCGAGAAGTGGGGTATCATGTTGTAGAGGAGACTCTTCAACCCTCGAATGAGCTTGTTGAAGTTGTCCCCCTGCCCTTGCCTAGAGGGAGCTCGACCCACATTGGGTATAAACGCGAGAACTCTCATCTTCCTAATTTGGATTTTCCCACTTTGGGTTATCACGAGATGGAGATATATCGATCTTTGGTGACACTTTCTAGGGCCAAGACAATCGCTAGGCATAGTGTTGATGATATAGAAAGTGTTTCGGCGTTCTATACCTAGAGGGTAAGCTTTTTCCTACACTTTCTCCTTCATATTTAAGTTTATCCTCTTAAGCATGCCTAATATTTATCTATTACTTTAACTCATTGACTGCTAGGTTGTGACCCTGCAGACTGAGCTTGTTGATTTGAGCTACCGCCAAGCATCGGAGTTGAAGGCCCTCGTCGAGGACAAGAAGAAATAAGTTTGTCACCACAAGAAGAAAGTTTCTTCTTTGAAGAAGTCTCTTGAAGTTTCAGAGGCTTGAGCTTGTGAGCAAGAGACGAAAATTGATAACCTGCAGTCCGTTTTGGCAAAAGTGCTAGAGGAGGTTGCAGAATAATATAAGACCTCTGCGGAGTACATTAAGGATCTGGAGGCATCCATGGTGTAGTACAAGTCATCATTAGATTATGCCAATACCTTGCATTCATACGGGGGAAGGTGATGGCCATTTCCATCAAATTAGCTTAGGAGTGGATATCCACTGAGCATTCTTCTATCGATTCCTCATGTTTCGACGATTTCTGGCACAGTGCAAAGGCAGAGAGAGTGGAGCCTATCAGTCCAAGGCTTTCGGGTGCACATCACGGGGTAGGAGTGAAAGGACTTTCCACTCGAGTTGAAGCATTCTTTAGTTATAAATCTTCTATCACTTTATGCCACTATTTGTTTTAGTCATTTGATTGTCTTTTGCTTTTTACCAGTCTAGGATGTGGATAGAAAATCACTTTATTTTGAGTATGGATGTTTCTTTATTGAACAATACTGTTACTTAGTTCTTTTCCATCTATCTTGATTTATAGGCGCCCCTTAGCATGGTGTAAAAGTCAATTCACCTATTCTCGAGCAACTTTCGTTATTTGATCGTATGGTAGCTAGCGATCATAGTAACGTCGAACTTCAAAGCCCCTCGGGCTGTGTCAAGT